ATACATACATATATATATATATATATATATATATATATATATATATATATATATATATATATATATATATATATATATATAGTGTGTTCAATATCCTTGATATCTATCTGATATGTCCACTTGGTATGGGAAAATGAAATGTGGATGCATTTTTTTCTTCTTGAAGAAAGTGTCATGGTTTGGCCACTTTCATTTGGTTTAAGTTACTGATTGGCTTGAATAGTACTTCAATCCGAGAATTTTATACTAAAATCATTGGAGTTGGAGAATTTTATGGTGCCAACAAGCACGTGGTGGGATAAGTTATAAGCCTCTAGCAACATTCTGTCACGTTTTCATTTGAGGGGGACATTGAGCACTTTCTGGTGATAACTAACTCTTCATCTTAAATATGAATGTGCCCGACATTAAACTGGGTTCTTATAGATGAATTGAGAGTGCATCATCGGCTGCTGGCCTTCATCCGTTAACTAATATTAGTTTAGAACTTATTTGTCTCCAATTTTGCTCTTGCTGTCTTTCATGGATGTCCCTGTGAGCATACCAGCATTAGAAATATACCAATTAGTATGTTAGTCCATATAAGAAACTTATTTTACTCACAAGCTCTTTACCTTTTAAACACGTGATAGGTCAAGGTAGTATTGGAATGTTAAACAAAACCTACCCAAATGTATCCTTCCAAAAATTTTAAAGAACTCTGGTTGAAGACTGATTTTTGGGCTCAATCAGAAAAGATTGAAGAGCGAGAGGGGGAGAGGAAAAAGAAAAGGGCTTGTCACCTCGGTTACCCCTGCTCTATAAGAATGTCTCGCTAGATCCAAGCAAAAAAAAAATATTAATAGTTTCTACTACCCGCTCTCAGGTTAAGAGGATGTGAAAATGGCATTAAGAGAAAAGAAAAATACCAACTAGATTCACACTACTCATATCAGTACCGACCAATTAATGGGTGGATGGATTTACAGAATATTAACTATATTTAGTTTTCCTGTTTGTGTATTTTAGATTTTTACCACTGGTTGCTCAGCCTGGTAATACATTGAAGTGCATTAAGATGGTTTCATTTAGTTCTATCTAACTTCATCTTATACTTGTGGCAGATATTGTCATGGTTATTGGTGCTATTTTAATTGGGTATGCTGCGTGTATGCTCCAGCAGGGATTTGGCTCCAAGATGGTAGGTGATTCTGATCCATGGTCTTCTTTCTTGCATTACAGTTGTGTGATTATTTTTCAAGCATCGTTTTCTTAGTCAGTTGTTGATTTCTGTGTTGCTCGGATCCTCCAAGAATGCTGCCATGTGTGTCGGAGCCTCCAAAAATAATGCATGTTTTGAGGATCTGACACGGGTGGTGGTATTTTGGAGTATCCGAGCAACATAGGTTGATTTTCATTTTCTGGGCTGACCAATGAAACATTGGAATGCCTTTCAAGATCAAGTTAAGTGGAGGTTTAAATGAAATAGAGGCTGTATTTTCTAGGAATATCTTTGATTGCCTAGAAATATTACGTCAATTCAGTCTATAACTACGTCTTGGCATAAAGATTAAAAGTTACTCCTGCCCACATTTCTTCCAAGACTCTGATTGGACATACACTCAGTTGTTTATCCTTCAGCAATTGCCTACAAGATTGTCATGGCCTCAAAAACATATTGTAAATATTTTTCGTACTTTGTATGAAACGATAGGCTTGTATAACTAAGCTGTTTCCTAATTGTGGATATTGCAGCAAGTTCAGGCGGAAGTGGATCAACAGGAACCTTCTTTAATCAAAGAGAAGCCCACTCCTGTTGTTGAAATTGTTAAAGAAGAACAGGAAGCAGGATGGCCATCATTTGGGCAGCTTGTGTGGGATTTGTCCAAGCTTGCAGTAGAGGCTGTGGGTTTCCTTTTTGGCCATATCGTTCCACTGCGCGTTAGACACAAGTGCTTTAATAAACCTGGACTAACTCCACTGAAAGATTCACTCATCATGCCTGAAGATGAAGTTGAGCCCCCATTAGTCCAAAAGCAGAGGGCACCAGCGCCTGCTTCCGAGAGCAGACAGATCCCAGCTGCCGGCGATAAATTTCCCGAGGGAAAGCCCACCAAGCTTAGGTCTAGTAGTTTTAAAGACCCTACCTTGTCAACCAAGCACAGGTCTTCCAGACGACATGAGTATGCAGAATACTACGGGACCTCAGGTGAAGTTCCTCCATACGGGCACATGAGGTCTAAAAGCCAGAAAGAAAGAACCAAACATCGGCGACAAGACAAAGTTTTAGAGGCAGGAGTCGAGGCAAAACCTGCTGAAATGAAACCAGTAAACTATGAGGATCCAAAGTATGCTCATTACAACATGAGGAGCAAGTATGGAGACTCATTCCCGCGTTATTCATGAATAGTCACTAAGGATTTAGTTTTATAAGCCAGGGACGTGCTTTTAAAGATGTACCTTTTTTGTCATGTAAGTTGTAACTCTAATATTAAAGGAAGCAAGTCATCTGTGTTGTAGTACAAAGCGGGCCTTCACTTTTCATGTGTAAAATGCTAAGGATGCATCGGTCGTAGTCACAGATTTTCTGTTACTCTTATGGAGAGAGAAGAGAAAGGAAAAATCTTAAATTAGTGGTGTACGTATTGCCGGTGAGTGAAAGTAATAGGAAAAGGATGAGACGTTCATGTGATTTCTGATGTTGAAAAATGGCAGCCGTGATTTATTTGATGATCAAATGCTCAACTAAATAACTTCACAGCTTGGTGCTAACTTGTGGAGAACCCTCATCCCCATCCCTTAATGAAGCCAGTAGGTGAGAGAACAACTCACAAGAAAGTGTATTAGATGAATATTGACTGCGTATACTGTATGAATTCATTTATTAGTACTTGGCTATCATTTTATGATTTTCGCAAGAAAGTTTTTATAGGACAACTAGTAATTTAACATGCAGACTGTTACGCGGCGCCTTCTTGAGGTTCCTTGGAAGGGCGACGTAAGGCTAAGCAACCAATGTCAGTGCGGTTGCTGTCCGCCAACTGAGGTCCCCTCCGTATGCTAGACGAGATTGTTAGTGCCGTACGGAAATACCAACGTCAAGAGCAATTGCGGAAGCTGAAATGAGAATTGAGAATGAAATCTTGATTGCATTAATTAATGAAAGCTATTACAAAAGACTACGCGGTGTCGAGGGGGAGAGACACTAGTACGGAGAAATGTTTGCTTGCTTGATCCCCCTAATAGTGCTTACAAAAAATAAACCAAAGTTACAAGACTTGACCTAACTAAGCTAGAGAAACATAATGGAAGTACATGAAATAAAACAACTCTGTATTTACAATGAAAAGGACTTAGTTTTCTACAAGGTAGAAACAGGTCCGTTGGCAACAACTTTGTCTTTCGCATCACGCATCAGGGTCTGCGCGAGCGGTGCTGTCGTCGCGCGTGGCACTATTTGCATCAGCCTGCGGCTGGGCGCTGGCCCTTGGCATCAGGGTCTGTGCGCGTGGCGCTGTTGGAATCTGCCTGCGGCTGGGCGCTGGCGAGGCATCAGGATCTGCGCGCGTGGCATTGTTTGTGCGCGGCACTGTTGGCATCATCATGAACTGTGCATGCGGCATTGTCTGTGCGTGCGGCACTGTTGGCATTTGCCAACCGCTGGGCGCTGGCGTGGGCTATCAGTAGGGCCACAGAGGCACATGCGCGCTTGTCACTTGGCGTTGCCGAGACCACGGGAACGACCATAGCGCTGGGCGTTGGGAGGCTTACCAGGACGCGATGGGGTGCGTCCAAGGGGTCATGGGGCATGGCTAGAAAGCATTTCAAGACATTCTCCCCCACCTGAGTTGGCGACGTCTTCGAAGCCTTACCTACAGGGTGATGATTGATCAGGCTCTTGTTGGCTGGGCGGTCTGTTCCCCTATGTCTTGTGAGTTGGCATTGTGAATGATGTTCTATGTCTTTCCGAAGAGATCTCAGGCGGCTAACATGGAAGACTGGATGGATCTTCCACCAGGCTGGGATGTTTACCTGGTATGTGGCCTTTCCAATGCGTCTTTCAATGGACAAGGGTCCGATGTGTTTTTGCAGTAGGCGAGGGTCATGGGTCCTCGCTGCAAACAAGTACCGCTTTGGGATGTGTTAGCATCACTTTGTCTCCTGCTTGGTGTTGGACAAAGCGAAGATTTTGATCGGCGAACCTTTTCGCCCGCTCTTGGGCTCTGACGAGATAGCTCCGTACTATCTCCAAATTGCACTCCCATTCCCTCGAGAAGTTGGCAGCTCGAGGAGATTTCGGCATGGTTGATGCATTCACCGTTTGCGGGAGAAGCGGTTCCTGTCCGGTAACAATTTCAAAAGCGCTTTTGTTTGTAGTAGGGCTCTTTTGAGAGTTGAAACACAGTTGAACAGCATCGAAAAGCTTCACCCAATGCTTTTGTGATCCAGTTGCAAGTGGCGGAGATATTCCTCCAGCATGTCATTGAACCGTTCCGTCTGGCCATCTGATGGTGGATAGAAGCTTGAGTTGTGACTCAATTTTGACCCGAAGCACTTAAAGGGATGGGTCCAAAAGTTGCTAGTGAAGCGTGAGTCGCGGTCACTAACGATGTCTTTGGGCAAGCCCCAATATTTGACAATGTGCGAGAAGGAGAGTCGAGCTGTATCTTCTGCTGATATGTTTTGTGGGGCTGCTATGAAGGTTGCATAATTGGAAAACAGATCTATTGCAACCAAGATAGATGCAAGATTTTCGATTTTGGGCAATCCTGTGATGAAGTTAAGGGAAACACTTTCCCAAGGTCTTTCCGGGGCATGTAGTGGCTCCAAGAGTCCCGTTTGTGATGAGCGGTTTGACTTGCCCTTGTGGCCTGCTTGACGAGTCTTCACACACTGAGGGGTGTCATCAGTCGTCTGAGGCCGATGATATGATTTCTGATTCTTGTTGCAAAAGGTAGCCGGAACCATATGTTCATGTCTTTTGACTCCCTTCTTCAACTGCATGGCTGCGATGTTTTCAGCGGCCATCTTTATGGGCATGCACGGTATGATGCGGGGCTTGGCCCCGTTTTCTCCCATCATCAAGAGCATGTTGGCATATGGTACGGGTATGATATTGGTTTGCCTCAGGAATTCCAATCCCACTATCAGTTCGAAGTCATCTATGATTGCGACGCGTAGGTTGAATCTTCCTTCGTAAGGTCTAAGATTCATAGGCACTTCTTTGGATATTCCACTCACTGGTTGGGGTGGTGAATTGATAGCCTTGACGACCCTTACTCTTTTGCACAACTAGGTTGAGGCGTCCACCTGAGTCGAGGCCAAGTAGTTGTGGGTAGCACCTGCGTCTATCACTGCCCGAATGGGCTTGCCGTTTACTTTCATTTCGACGAACATTAAGGTCCTATCTTGTGTAGAAGGAGGCCTCTCATCCGCCTTCTTTTTCCCTTTCTTGGAGATTGGGCATGAGTCCTTCTTAGGGATACCAACAGTGGTTCCCGCTAAGGTATCAGGGATGGAGCCAAGAATTGCATTGAAGGCACCTACTTGATCTGCATCGTTTAAGTCGTCATCCGACCCATCCTCAACAGTCCGATGAGCGTTGATCTGTATATGTGGGAATTCATTTTTCCAACGTGGCCCGCCGCAATGATGGCATTCTGAAGGGGGTTTCCTCCCCTGATTGTTGTTGACGGATGCAGCACTGTTGCTGCTTGAGGAAGGGGTCTTGGATTTGGTTGCACTTCGATCTCCCCTACTTCTGTTAGGGCTACCATTGCTAGGCTGTCTCCCGTTGTAAACCCCTCGGACAGGCGGCTGAGGCCTATCTTTCTGAGTTTCCATATGATAATCCCTTAGGCATTCATCAACTTGGATAGCCTTGGGGAGGGTATCTACCCTTTATCTTTGCAGCTCCATACGGGCATGAGGTTTCAAACCTTCTAGGAATGTGAAAAGTTTGTCTTTGTCACCCATATCCCGTATGTTTAGCATGAGCGCGGAGAATACCCGCACGTAATCCCGCACTGACCTGGTCTGGCGGAGCTCCCTTAGCTTTCTCCGTGCATTGTACTCCACGTTTTTGGGGAAGAACGGCAGGCGTATGGCTGCCATCAGTTCTGCCCATGTCTTGAGAGTATCTTCCTCGGCCCTGATGGCTTCGTATTTCACTCGCCACCAGAGTTTAGCATCACCCCGAAGATACATGGCAGCAGTTACTACCTTTTTGGCTTCTTCCAACTCGCCCACGGCATCAAAGTATTGTTCGATGTCGAAGATAAAGTTTTCCACTTCTTTAGCATCCCGAGCTCCGCTGTATGGCTTTGGCTCCGAAATTTTCAGATTTTGTGGCATGGGGGCGAGGTTCACTGTACCCCTGATTTGGTTGTCGCTTCCTCGAAGTAGGCTTTGTAGTGCAGCATTGACAATATTGAGTTGGCCTTTCAAGTTGTCTATGGTTTGCTGCATGGCAGTCACCCTGTCTGCATCTTGTTTTCGATGGGCTAAATCCTTGACGCGCTCCTGTTGGATTCCCTCGAATTTGCCATGAATATTGGCTGCCTCAATGGCTACCGTTTACCGGTCTTCCTCAGAGTCGCGACTGATGTTTGCTATGTCAACTTCAGCCTGCCGCATTCTGCGATCTAGGTCGTCTAACCTTTGCACTAGGTTAGTGCTTAGATCAGGCACCGTATCCACGATGGATTGTAATACGTCAACCGTCTCTTCAAGGGCCGAAATGCGGTCCCCATGATTCACCATGGTTAGAAATGATAGTAATGGCAACGTGTTCCCTCGTTAGATGTCGAGCCTAGACTCTAATACCAACTGTTACGCGGTGCCTTCCTAAGGTTCCTTGGAAGGGCGAACGTAAGGCTAAGCAACCAATGTCAGTGCAGTTGCTGTCCGCCAACTGAGGTCCCCTCCGTACGCTAGACAAGATTGTCAGTGCCGTACGGAAAAACCAATATCAAGAGCAATTGCAGAAGCTGAAATGAGAATTGAGAATGAAATCTTGATTGCATTAATGAATGAAAGCTGTTACAAAAGACTACGCGGTGTCGAGGGGGAGAGACACCAGTACGGAGAAATGTTTGTTTGCTTGATCCCCCTAATAGTGCTTACAAAAAATAAACCAAAGTTACAAGACTTGACCTAACTAAGCTGGAGAAACATAATGGAAGTACATGAAATAAAACTACTCTATATTTACAATGCAAAGGACTTAGTTTTCTACAAGGTAGAAACAGGTCCGTTGGCAGCAACTTTGTCTTTCGTATCAGGGTCTACGCGTGCGGTGCTGTCGGCGAGCGTGGTACTATTTGCATCGGCCTGCGGCTGGGCGCTGGCACTTGGTATCAGGGTCTGCGCGCGACATTGTTGGTGCGCGCGGCGCTGTTGGAATCTGCTTGCGGCTGGGCGCTGGCGAGGCATCAGGATCTACGCACGCGACATTGTTTGTGTGCGCGATGCTATTGGCATCATCATGAACTGTGCACGTGGCATTGTTTGTTCGCGCGACACTGTTGGCATCTGTCAGCCGCTGGGCGCTAGCGTGGGCTATCGGTGGGGCGACAGAGACACATGCGTGCTTGTCACTTGGCACTGCCAAGACCACATGGGGCGTTGGGCGTTGGGAGGCTTGCCAGGACGCCATGGGGTACGTCCATGGGATCATGGGGCATGGCTGGAAAGCAGCCCATGACAAAACATACGCACATACCAGTTAGAGAGTTACATTTTCCGTTTATCTTAACTTGTTGTAGCAGGTATAACCCAAGGCGTCGTATTTGTTATGATTTGACCATAAGTGGCCTGTTTCTTTTACGCTATCAATATATAAAAGCTAAACTCTAATATGTGCAGTCAAACGTAAAATTGGCATTGGAACAAAACTTTTCTATTGTTCTATTGCCGAATTAGACCTTGTTATTGATGTCGGTAATGCAAAAAGTTGAGAGCATGTTGAACCGAACTAAAAATTAAAACCAATGACAGTTTTAACGTGATAATCACTAGTAAATAACGAAAAGTTCCTCTACCTGTCCGCGTCCAGTATGATATTTTTTTCACTTCCACAATGATGGACGACGGGTCTATTTGTGAATCACTAAAACAAATTGTGCTACTTAAGAAATTAGCGAATAAGGGGAGTTGGTGTGTGTACATTTACTAGTATATCTATCCTGTACCTATTTTTATTTTTATTCTAAAAATAATGCACAAAATGGATGTAACACACAATTTCTATCCAGAAACAAAAAAAATGATTTCTATGCAATCGTACATGGAGTTCCTCCTGCTACATATCTAAAAAGTAAAGCTTCTGGCAACCATGTGGATAGCTCTATTTCTTAGATAAATTTTTAATGGTGAAACTAAATCTGGTATTTTACATTAAATCAAACAATTTAACCTTAACATTTAAAAACTAAAGTGAAAATGCATATCAGTTTACCATGATTAACTGATAAATGTGCGTATGAAAGACACATGTCATGCATTCATTAATTTGGTGTAAATATGTGTGCACCTAAGTTGTTATTCTTTTACATACAAGTGACTTTTTATGTTTAATTATTTCATTATCTTCAATGGTGAAAATTTGACTATTACGCAATGAGTCTAGTGGGCATAAATGGGCGTAGTCACGAGAAAGCAATTCAGAGGCAACTACCAACTGAACTTTCCTCTTTAATATTTATCCATAGTCGTAGTATGGTATTTCAAATTCAACCTCGTGACATTCCCCTAAATTACTCCTTCTTGCTAGTATTTTCTTACATCTCATTGCAGTTTTCAGAAAATTGTTTCGAGAAGTTGTAAACCACTATGGTTTATGTGTCTAACTCTATATGCTAAAAGAAATTAAACATGGGTTGTAGCGGATCGTCTCACGCCAAGCCAAAGAGTCAGTCTTTTCTAGATTTAATTAATTTCCTCTGTTTATTCTGCTTAAGTTTTGAATTGTTTAGTTATTGATGCATACAATTAGAGTTAAATTGAATGATTATTAAAAAGTAGAAATGCATATAATAGGACTTGTGAAAAAGATAATACGAAAGCCAAAACCATGGAAGCATCCACAGCCAATAACAAGAAGTCAGTTGATGCAGCTAAGGGAAGAGTTTTGGGACACTGCTCCTCACTATGGTGGCAAGAAAGGTATACTCTGTTCGAATGGCTGCTCCATCTCGACCCTGTGTTGTATTCAGTTGTTAGTATGATGGCTGCTGAATCGTGTCATCATCTGTCTAAACTTAGGGAGATAACACACTTTTATTTAGTTAATTAATTTGTATCCTTTAATATCTCATGTGCGAGATATGTTAAAAGTTAATTCACTAAACAAGCATATGGAAATTCTTCTTGTATGGCCATCTCATTTAAAAAATTAAGCCGCTAGAGAGAGCACTTTTATTTATTTATTTATTTATTACTTAATTATAGTCAATAATATAACTAAAAACTCTTTATTATTTCACTCTATAACAGAAATCTGGGATGCGCTTCGTGCTGCGGCAGAAGCTGATATAGAGCTAGCTCAAGCAATTGTGGATAGTGCTGGGGTCATTGTCCACAACACTGACATGACCATCTGCTATGATGAAACAGGTATACTTATTACATGTACAGCTTTAATCCTAACATGACCAAAGTCCAGTCAGCAGATTTTGAATGGAAGTTACTGTTGTTTGATGAGAAAATGATAAGAGACCCTTATGTTTTGGCATTTGCCCTAAAATAGTTCTTACATATATTTGGAGCATACATATTCAGAAACTATAAGGACGGGAGTCCCTCAAGTCTCAATCATTTCTCCCTATCAAACCTTAACAAAAAACATACTAGCAGCACTAAGTGTTGGGTGTGCATGAACAAAGTCCTACTAAAAGCAAAAATAAAAAAATAAAAAATTATAAGGAGTTGAGACGGCTCAATGGTAATGGAGGCCTTAAGCCAAGCCGTAATAAGAGGCCTTAAATTTGTTTAATAATTTTAGATATTTTTGTTGAAGTTCATTCTTTTTACCTTTTGGGATTCAATTTCTTCTTGACGATGTAACCAACCCCTTTAATCTTTGTTGAAAAATTAACCTTTAAGTTTAATTTTGAATTTTTCTTTTCACATGACCGTCAATATAACTCACTATATAGCATTGCCTCCCAAAGTAACAATCATGTGGGAATTGTATTTACAAAAATAATAAATTAATTAATTATAGCTTTTTACGATATAATTAGCTTGAAGCGTACCTACAGAGATCTTGAAAGAAAATATTTTACAAAGTTAGAGTTGTATATTTAAATTGGAGTAAGAAGAACTAGAAAGTAACTGCAGATTAAATTACCTTTCACTTTCATTTGAATTTTATCAACCAACTACGAAAAAAGACAACATAAAATATAAAACTATGTTATTCATTTCTATACACTATTTGAAACCTTATTACGAAAAATGTCCATGTTTCGGTATTTACCCGACCTAAACACATTTTAGTTACAAAATATATACAATCCATCTTAAAAGGCTTCCAATCCATTATTAGTGCCTTCAATCAAGGGATTTAACTACACCATTTTCTTTTTTTCTCTCATCTCTCCCATCTTCTCTCCAGATTGAACTTATATTTAGGAATTTAGAAAATCTAATCCCTCAAATCCCGAGTACAGTCACCTTCTCTTTCTCCCCATATCTCATCTTCTACTACTTCATGGCAAAATATAGAAATCACCACGCTTACTAATTCATGGCAAAATATACATACCCAAAATCAACCAGACTTTGACAGGAGAACTGCTTAATGATATAGAGAAGAGATATGAAAACAACAATAAACCTTTCATCTCACACCCAACATGCCAGATAAGGATTAAGATAAAGATCTTAAGGGGCATTGCTCCAGCATGTGCTACTCCTTTGGGCTAGAGGCGAAAAATGGCTAAAACAGTAACAAACATGCACGATATAAATGGGCATGGGTAAAACAGTAACAAACATTGCTCCAGCATGTGCTACTCCTTTCATACATTATTTCTACCCAGTTATATACAACTATAATATCATACAACTTAAATACAATTTTTATACAATATTGTTCAACTTTCATAATTTAAGTTAAAAAAAAAATAAACAACATAATATAATTTTATTACAACTTTACTACAATTCCGTAATTATAATGTCATGTCTTCTTCTTCTTCTTCTTCTTCTTCTTCTTTTTCTTCTTCTTCTTCTTCTTCTTCTTTTAATTTGAAATTCAGCCAAAATCAAGTGTAATCTTCACCAAAACACCCTCAAAATTGAGATATAAACTCCAAATAATATTTCCAATTATTTGCAACAACACCAAATTCAAACAAATAATAGTTTTTGAAAACCCAAATTCGAATTCAAAGCTTTTTAATGGCTGCAATGGTGGAGAGTCAAACACCTTCAAAATTTATTGATTGACAATTTTAATTTGAACACCAATTGTGCAACATTACTGGAATTTGAACACCAATTGTTGCAACACCTTCAACTCTACATTACTGAAATTTCAATAAGCATAGAATTGCTGCTCTCCTTCCCTTTTCTCTACATTACTGGAATTAGGGATTGAGAGATAGAGAGAGACGTAGACAGAGAGACGTAGACAGAGAGAGAGAGAGAGAGAGAGAGAGAGAGAGAGAGAGAGAGAGAGAGAGAGAGAGAGAGAGGGAGAGAGAATAAGGATGAGAAATAATTGATTCTTAATATAAAGGGATACTCATTTAATTCCTAAAATGTATATAATGGCAAATTTTATATAGAAGGTAATTAAATGAAACTTGAGTAGGGAGGGTAATAACGTTTCAAATAGTGTATAGGAATGTAAAAATTCCTATTAAAAATAGGTGACAAGGTAGCAAAAGGCGGTTAAAAAAATTTCTTTTGGGGCCTTTAATTTTGTGAGGCCCAAAGCGGCCACTTTAGTGGCCTAGGGGTTAAGCCGTCTCTGACTCTCAATGTTAAGAGTATCTTTGCCATTTTACCAACAAGAAGCACATCAGTTCAGCGTTAGAGCCATACAACAAAATAAAACTAGAGAATTGGGTTAAATGCATCGGAAGAAGCCCGTTTGCATGGTTCACATTAGGGGTGTACATAGGTCGGGTTGGATCGGTTTTTTTAATTACCAAACCAAACCAATTGTGTCCGGTTATTAAATCTAAAGACCAAACCAAACCAATAAAAGTCGGATTCTTTAATCTCGGTTTTCTCGGGTTTTTCGAGTTTTCAGGTTATTTCGGGTTTTTTTTCCCCATAAAGTTTTCATAGCACAAAACATAGAATTTGTGCTCCAAATATTTCTTTGATCCTAGTAAAAAATAGCTATATAAGGTGAAAGTAACATAAAATATGATATGAGAAATGGTATTGTACTAAGATATTCAACAATAAAGATAATAAAATCGCATAAAATAAATATTATTAATATGCCATAATGAAAATAAACATAATCCAAAATTACTAAGTAATAAGTACGACTAACAAGTAATATTTTTACATGACTAAACACTATAAAAAAAAATAAGTTGTGTATTTTATCTAAATCATGGAAAAACTACAAAAATAGATATCCAACACTATTGTCATTCCTAGTACAATTAATTGAATGTCTTTTGTTAGCATTAATATTGACTATAAAACTTATTGTAACATTATATTCAAGAATTATAAGTCCAAGTTTAAAATAATACGTTAAAAGATAAAATTATGAAAATGTTTAAGAATATTTATAAACTACACAACAACAAATATTTTTATGTATTAAATATATTTAAAACTTCTATACATCTAATGTCGGGTTGGTTTGGTTCGGTTTGACTTTTTTTAGTTAAAACCAAACCAAACCAATTGTGGTCGGGTTTTTTTTCCCAATACCAAACCATAGTCGGGTTTTTTTTCCCGGTTTGATTCGGATTATCGGTTTGGTGCGGTTTGTGGGTTCCCTTTGTACACTCCTAGTTCACATGCTTCTCACGGGCCAATTCTGTGAAATATAATTATTCTCATGTGTTTTAAACATAACAAAGACCAAAATTGTTTGATTTTGGTAAATAACAAAGCACTAAAATTGCTCATATCTATATTTTAAGGACTATTTTAGACTAATCCCAAAGATAACGAACTATTCTTCTGGTTAATTGATCGCTAATAGAAAATTTTGTTGCAGGTACCAAATATGAACTACCGAAGTACGTATTGAGCGAGCCAACGAACATGATAAGATACGATTGAGAAGATGAATAGTAGTTGAAGGTGGTGCACATATATGTTGTGTAATTTTCGTTTTTTCACAGTCTGAGTTTGCTTCTGTCATTTTCTTCTACCATCAACTATAACGTAATTCCACCTTAGTCGCTACCACATAACCCCTTTTTAAGTTTAAAGTGGCGAAACTGAAACCACCAATTCCTTTTTTCGTTCATACTCCAAATTAAATTTGCTAGGAATATTAGGAGTTGGGATTCACCTACTGGTAGTATTTGCTTCACATGAACAATTGGATGACGATTCCCATATTGAAATAAGTGTACAAGCCAACATTTTTCAAACTTTAGGTTATCTAGTGCTTTGGTAAATGTTATGCAAAGGAAGATATGGTATGACGGCTTAAATGCTATGCTTCTTACACGGTAAATTAATTTTGTTTATTTTTATTTTGACATGAAATTGACAGAGTGGCAAAATCCTAACATGACAAGTCATCTGTCATAACTCAATGCCAATAAACCCTCGAGTTGGTTGAGCAAGAGACTTTCCAAATGGAAGGTCTAGAGTTCGAAACCACTTGTATATCGAGCCCGGGCACGAGATTCAATGCCAATAAACCCTTCGGGGTGGCCAAATTGGTTGAGCAAGGGACTTTCCAAATGGGAGATCTAGAGTTAGAAACCACTTGCATACCTTCTCTATCGAGCTCGTCACACGAGACTCGCCTAGTGTGATTTATCCTCCTGCATAGTTTGCGGGCTATTACACAAAAGCCGGGTTTACCTTGCGCGTACCCGAAGGGTAGCAGTTGGGGGTTCCTTGTTAACCAAAACTCAATGCCAATAATTTCACCTTCTTGTCCTCTGTAATTTCAAGCAATTTGCACATAAGTTCAACACTTTAATGATAAAATTAATTTTGTGCCTATACTTTTTCCGGTTTTCATTTCCTTTTAAAGCTAACTGCCTAACCATTTCCCTTTATTGCGCTGATTTATCAGGAAAATTGTTGTCATTTTTCCGAAATTGTTAGACTAGAAAGTTTCATTTTCGTGGCTCATTCATGCTAGTTGGGACTGTTAAGAATAACAATATTGTTCCTGGATTGAATGAATGCAATTTCAAAACCGTCAAAAAAGGTTGGCCATAACAAACACTTTTTTTTTGTTTTTTTAATTATTATTATTATTATTATTATTTTTTGGCCATAACAAACTCAATCAAAATGAACAAACATTTCTAAATCTCAACTCCTTTAAACTCCTCTCAACTTCACTCCTCGTACTTTCCTCTGCTAAATCCCATAATGCCTGAAAACTTCAAGCAGAAGATATCAAAATCATTATTTTGTCCGGCCGAAAAAATCGCCGGCAGCGATGATATCTTAAAGGAAATTCTCTTACGATTACCAGCCAGTTCTTTTCTCCGTTTCAGTTGCGTCTCTCATCGCTGGCGTTCCTTCATCTCCGACCCTTATCTCCGGCAACTCCATTCTCGCCGGAGCGCCGCCATTACCGACAGTCTCTTCTTGTTCCGTAAATCCGACAAGAAGTACCACTTAGACCACCTCTTTAATTTCTCCGACACTAGTAAAAGAAAAGCTGTCCCTTCTAACATCCGCACTTTTACAGACAACTTCCGTTCAGTTGAACCGTTACACTGTTGTAATGGTTTGTTTTGCCTTAAGCTTCTTCAACTTGATAGTGATGACGTGTTATATTGTGTTTATAACCCTTGTATAAATCAATACACTAATATTCCACTTCCTGATATTAATGATGAAGAAGAAATTGTGTCAATGAATTTGGCTTTTGATCCGAAAAGGTCTAGCCATTACAAGATTATTTGCATTGTTGGAGAAAGATTAGGGTTTTTGAGGTTTTTGACTTTTTCTACTGAAGGTAATAACTGGAAGGAGTCGGGTCAAGGGGTTCGGGTCAGAGGAGAGTATTATTTTGTGAAAGGGGTATTTTTGAATGGTAATATATATTGGATCAGTAAACATTCAGCTTTTGTGTGCTTTGATGTTGATAATGATAGTCTGAAAATAATGCCTAGTACTTCTGTTCCTGCGGGGCGTAACGGAAGAAAAATCAAGTATTTTGGTGAATCTGCTGGAAATTTGCATCTTATTGAGGAAAATGCGCTTCGGCCTACATTGCTTAATGTGTTTGAATTGAAGAATGATTGTTCAAAGTGGTATGTGAAATATGTTGTGGATGTTGATGATCTGACTCATTTGTTTCCTCTAATGGTGATTAATGAGCCGGAGTCTCTTGATGTTATCGGTTACCAATTTGATGTGCTGTGTTTTGTTGATGGTGAGAAAGATGGGAAGACGATGCTCGTGTTGTCAGTACCAGAAAAAATGATCTCTTATGATATAAAGAGTATGGATATCAAGGAGCTTCTGAAAGTGCAGCTAGAACAACTTCATCTCAGCATTGAAGGTTTTATTGTGTACAACTATAAATGGTATCATGCTTACAACCATGTTCAAACACTTGCTCTTGTTTAGTTGCTCTAATTAGCTTTTAATCTTAGTTGGACTTTAGTAGGATCAATATTTGATGAAATAAACTTAGCTTGATATTTGTGGCAATTTGACTTTGTGTGAAATGTTTATGTCCACGTAAGATCAGTGGCGTAGCTAGAAGCCTGAATAGGGGTTTGGCCGAACCCAGTAGCTTTTGCTCAAATAGTATATTTGTGTTAAAAAATTTAATTTAGAACCTAGTTAGTAGCCCTTAAAATTGTTGTTCTAAACTTCAGAACCCATAAAGTTGAAATTTTGGCTCCGCCTATGCATAAGATGGTGTCAAGATTTTGAGTCAATGGATGCAGAGTATTCCTGTATCCATTATTTTTAAAGAGTACGCCTGTCACTGTGAACTAAACTACAACCTTTTATCAACAAAGTTGCCAGAGTTTTTCTATGATTTATGGTTCAATTGAGTCATAGGCATAGTTGTACTACTGAAGTAATCTTGAAATGCCACTGAAGCACTGTGGTTATGTGGAAGGTCTAAGGTTTTTTCTTTTCTTTTTATCCCAACATTATGGATTTATATTGATAGTATATGTGCATTTAAATTCTAAGGATAGCTGCTAGTACAAGGTAATTGCAATCTGCTGCAGTACTTCTATCCTTATTTCAAGATAGAATTCTTGTTTGTGGGCTGATGTAGGACATTTATAACTGAAACTTAAACAAAACACACACCATGATACAGTATCATTGATACTAGAGCGGAGCTATTAATAATCAAGTGCTAGTTGTTTTGAAATGAAACTGCAGATTGGTCGAAGCATCAATAGTGTCAGATGCAACTCGAGAATTCCCTTCGATTACCAAATCTTACACTCGGGATTATTCTAATATTGTTACTAGGTCATTTGCGTTCCTCTGCACCTAAAGAGAGCTCAACGCAGGACCGTTGAAAATGTAAACCTCATCGTAACCCTTCCTGCAGGACAAAAGACATTTACATATCAAACTGAATTCCTGGAAATTGAGGTGATTGCTAACTAGGAATATCAAAATGCAGAATAACTTACCCAGCTTTTCCACTATAAGCAGGACTGTAATTGTAGATAAGGTTGTCAAGTACTTTTTGAGCATCCGGTTTATTAGAAGACTTTCTTGCTTCACTGCATTTTAAGATATATAAAAGAAGAGAAAGCTTGCAACCATCTTTGAACAAAAAAGCTAACTGGTTAGCATATAACTACGTCCAGCTTCCCATCTCAGGTGGAAGAGATGACAAAATGGAACAATCAGAGACTAAAAGCTTGATAAACAAAGCAAGAAATTTATGCCGAAATTGATGAATTCAGTTTGCTTGTGAAAGCTATAGGAAAAAAAAGTTACTACATGTGATAGAAATTGTGGTCCAAGAAAATATATACTAGCATGAAACTTCTGCCTAGTCGTTTCACGAAAACATGAACTCTAGTTCCATGGTTGTCTAATGTGTTTCATTTTCTGAGTTTTCATTGTGATAATGACATGAATGTAAACCAGATTCTCCTTTCCTTGGGGTATAAGCGAAAGAGATGTACCCGACAAAATAGTTCGCTACAAGTTGAGTCACTTGAACTGCATCCTCAGAATGTGGAATTGCTGCTGATCCCCATTCAAAAGCACTTTTCTGCAGTAATAAGAACAGTTAAGCCAGATAAATTTTACTCCATATAATTCTATTTCGACTTTTACATTTAAGTTAAGTTCTGCCCTTCCTTTCAAGAAAATATAGGAGAAGTTCTTAAGAGATGATATTCCTCTACTTAGCTCCTACTCCTAGGAGATCAACTGACAACTTTTGGTGTCATTGCTGTTTTAGATAATCTCTCTAAAGGAAACCGCGATACAACAGAGAAACAATGATACTACAACAAGTTAATTCTTTCAATAGATCATTATAGGCTGAATATCTACGGGAACACTTAAAGTTGACACGATTTTTCATTTAGACACCTAAACTCAAGGGTGTTCCTATTGAGCACTTATACTATCCGAAACTTATTCCAATTAAGCACTTCTTGCTGAGTTGGCACATAAAGTGAGTTTCACCCAATATAGGCGCGTGAAGACTCCAAAAAAACAGATTTTTTATTTATTTTTTTCTTTTTTATTTCCTTCTTCTTCTCCCTCAAAAACAAAACAGATCTGAGGCAATTCCCATCTCTTCACTGCCGGAATCCGGCGAGAGAAACCGGCGGCCTCATCCTCTCCAAAAAACCAACGATCCCCCTCTCTTTTTTTTTTTTATACATATTTCTGACGAAAAGCAAAACCATTGGAATACCTACTTTACAAGGCATAATATGCTCTGGTCTGCAACCGGTACCCCCTGTTGTTCGTTCCGATTTGGAGAAGTAGTTTGGCTTTGCTCGTCTTAGTTCAAAGTTTGGCCCGCTATTAATGCTAATTTCAGCTGCACTACTTTTTGTGAATGATTTTCTTTTGATGTTTGTTCAAGATTTGGGGTTCTTCTTCAACCCTAAGAAACCAGCTGCACCCCATCTCATCTCAGGCCATTAATGGGTCTTTAAAAAGCTTGAAGGTTTAAAATGGGTTACTTGATTTGATGAAAGTTTGGGAAATTAATATTGGAGTTGTCTTCGGGTCGTTGTGGGGAATCTTTAGCTGAAGTTATAACAAATTTGGAGGAGCTTCTCTTAAAAATTTGGATTAAAATCGTGCTTGGAACAAGAACACACATGAAAATAGTGAAGAACACACATGAACATATAGTGAAGATGTTGAGTTAAGTAGTGTTTTTAGGTTTTTTCCTTCTTTTTTTACTCAAAATAATATTTGTCCTTTTTTTATTCGTCATTCGCCAAGTCAGCAGCGAGTGCATTGCACAAACTTTGTAAGTTTGGCTGATTGTCAAAGAAGTGCTTAATTGGAATAAGTCTCGGATAGTATAAGTGCTCAATAGGAACACCCTTGAGTTTAGGTGTCTAAATGAAAAATCGTGCCTACTTTAAGTGTCTCCGTATGTATTCAGCCATCATTATATCACAGCCCTCTTTAGGAGTCTGTTTAGGCTGCCTATCAAGTAAAGAGTATCTCACATCTACAACATGCTATGTTGGATTTAATAAGACGGCAATAATCATAATTATCCGTAATTCAGTAGAAAATCTGGTGCAAATGTTACCTCTGGGTGCCACTGTAAAGCAGTTATGGGATAGTTTTCTGCTTGAAGAGTAGAAACAAAGACCTGATTCATCAATTAAGAATTTAGATGATCACTCGTTGTGTTGAAAATTACAGTTCCAAAATCTTTACTTTCGATACCACTTGGAAGTATAGCAAAAGGGGAGAAAGGATGCAGCTTAATATTATATATAGACAATGTACCTTGTTGCGTGTGTCTGTGCTAGTAGTCAACATAATGAAAAAGCTAGATAGATCATCATTTGCTTGAAACTTTTCTGGTGATAAACCATACTGTTGTATGAGGGAAACATAAAAGGATCAGTCACATTGAAGCATTTTACAAATGTCAGCCAAGAAGAAGAAAATAAATAGACAAACTATTGCAGGGTATGATTGTGATATCACTATAAAATTATCAGCAAGTGCAAGCATATTTTCTAGGACTCACCTTGTTTCTTTGGAGCACAAGGCATTCCTTACTCAACTTCTTTAGTAATGTAGGTGGGAATCTGCATCAAACATATTGCCCAAAATAAACAACCCTCCTCTATATAATGCAAAATGCAATTTGCCACAGTTGTCAAAAGAATTTAAATCAAATATTTTATAACAGGAAAATGACACTGTATAGCCGCTCTCAAAATAATAGCAAAAAAAAGGGGGTATTATCACTTTTAGCCTGGGCCAGAAACTATTCACATTTGGTAGCCGAAAAGTGTATAAAATTTGTATATTTTTTGTATATAACATACAGAATGTATACATATATACACAAATAATATACATTTTTTCCGGCTATTATTATGAGAGCGGCTATACAGTGTCATTTTTTCAAAGATATAGTTTTTGTATAAATATTCACTTCTGTATGTTATATAAAAAAATACAATTTTATGCGCTTTTGCGGCTATCATATATAACTCCTTTTATTAATCACTGTTCCAGAAGCCTCCTAATCACTTATTTAACATCCTATAATACAAACAACTTCAGTATTGATCCATATCTGTTTTGGATCCTTGGTCATTATTGATCAAGTAATAATTAGATGGGAGAATTACACACTAGTACAATTCATACACATATATTGCAATTAGTTAGCCCAGTTACAGCTTTACAAATTTATAGCCCAAAGATAAAAGGCTAAGGTCCTAAAAAAGTGTTTTTGCACCACCAACTACTGCTATTATGCCTTCTTTATAAATTCCTACGCTTCGCACAGATTCCAATTGAAACAACCAACTTCAATGGTGGCATTTAAATTCTGAAAACACATAAGGCTTTTATATTTGAATTTGCTTTTCTTAATGTAATATTGTAATAAGTGGAAGCAGTAGAAACATCTACAATTCTAGAGGAAACTTAGACTGTTTAGATGATAAAATGAGAATAGTGATATATTTTAGAACCATTAATGTAATTGAAGGATCTTTGTCAAATCTTATATTTGTTTCTTCCCCAAGTTTCAAATGGTAGAAATCAAAAAATAAAAAAAAATAAAAATTGCTGCAAGAAATATTTAGACTTTCTCTCTCGGCGCATGTTTGCGTGTATTGGCTAACGTGCACTGATCGAAAACAATAGGGAGAGGACGACCTAGAAAGCTGGTGACAAAGGTACAACTAGCAGAATTTATCGCTTCAGGAAGTAGGAATGGTAGTCAGGGGCGCAACACAGATGTAGATGCACAAATGAAACTCCATAGCTGTGACAATGGAACTCCAAAAAATTCCGAGGGTAATCGAGGTTGGAACAACATGCAGCTGAAATTAACTAGAGATCTGGAGAATCTGAGCCCAAATCTAAGTGAATCGACATCGCAGATAGCTGCTGAGAAGATAGATCAAGGAACTTTGAGCCAAAACACTGTTCCATTGACTACTGTAGCACCAAAGGAAGCTAAAAACAGTCATAAGAATAAGGAGCTGAACAACAAGGAGAATAGAGAAATTGTGACGAACGAGCAACAAGTGATGAAGCAGAACACAGGGAAAGAAGTTACACAAGTCAAGCCACAAGTAGCAATGGGAGAAAACCAGCAGAAGTGGTCAAACCTGTTCGCAGGGAACAAAATGGCTGCACGAGGTATGGATCTAGTATTCATACCACCTACTATACAGGATGGAGTTAAAAAGGTGCAATTACAACATGAGAAAATGGAATCAGAAAATATGAAATGGAAAAAAGCTATAATTGTCTATGTTATTGGAGAAACACCATCAATAGGAGCCATGGAGAGGTTTATAGCTGTTCAATGGAATTTTGCTGCTAAACCTATAGTGTATTATCACAATGAAGGTTACTTTGTGGTACTATTCAATAGTTTGGATGATAAGAATGCAGTTCTCTATTCAGGACCATACACAATAGGGGTGAAACCAATGATCTTAAAGTCTTGGACTGAAGATTTCAATTTATATAATGAAGTACTCAAAACTATTCCACTGTGGGTAAGCTTTCCTAATCTGCCATTGAATTGTTGGGGTAGGTTGTCACTGAGCAGAATTGCTAGTGGATTAGGGACACCTCTATATGCTGATGAGTGCACAAGTAATATTGCTAGAATCTCATATGCTAGAGTGCTCATAGAGATGGATATTAGCAAGGAGTTACCAAGGAGTGTTAAAATCCAAGATCCTACAGGCAAAGAATTTGACCAAGAGGTTGAGTATGACTGGGTACCTCAATACTGTAAGAAGTGCTTGATGGTGGGGCATGATTGTGAAGGAGAACAGGACAGAAATAGACAAATAAACAGGAATGGAAAAAATGACCAGCATCAGAATAAGCAACAAGGGAGGAATGTCAATGTTAATGGGAACATACAACCACCAAAGAGAGCAACAACTCAATGGGTGGCAATAGGTACTACAAAACAGACACAACAAGACATGGGCAAGCAGACAGAACAAGAAGAGGAACCACAGAACCCAAAGGGAGATCAACAAGTATGGACTAAAGCAAAGGGCAAGGTGGGAATGACAAGTCCTATACAGCAGGGTATACAAACTACAAATGGCTTCTCTCCTCTGAGTGAAGTGGCAAACGAAGGTAGGATAAGCTGGGCAGATGATGAGGCAGCTGGATGCAGTAGGGGAGCAGGTGAGCAGATAATCCCACATACTCAGATCATATGAAGATTGCAACTTGGAATGTGAGGGGTTTCAATAAAGTACATAAGCAAAAGGAGATGAAAGTTTTCTTAGAAAAACAAAAAATAAGTCTTATAGCAGTAGTTGAACACAGAGTCCAAAACAATAAAGAAAGAGAAATTATAAATAAATGTGCACCAGGCTGGAGATGGTGCACCAACAATACAGGGAATCAAAAAGGCAGAATTTGGATTCTATGGGATCCTAATAGAATTCAATTTACCATGATGCAGTCTCATAACCAATATATCCATGGCATAGTTAAGAATAGCACTTCAACTAAGCAGTTCACTTTTACAGCTGTATATGGACTGCATACTGTTGCTCAAAGACAAGACCTGTGGGAAGAACTGAGGAAAATTGATACACAGACAGTGGATAATTGGCTGATCATGGGAGATTTCAATGCTGTGATGGATAAAGAAGATAGAGTAAATGGCACAGAAATACAAGATAATGAAATCAGGGATTTTAGAAATCTAATGGAAGACTGCAACCTCAATGAGCTCAGAACTGTAGGAAGAACATACACATGGACAAATAGTCATGTGTTTAGCAAGATTGATAGAGCTATTGTAAATGCCAAGTGGATGCTGAATATGCCACCATTACAGGTTACAATTATGGACCCTCTTTTCTCTGATCATTCCCCATTATGCCTAGAAGTGGAGGCAGCAATGGAGGTGAAGGGGAGACCTTTTAAGTTTTTCAATTTCCTTACTTAACATGCAGAGTTTGAACACATAGTAAGGAACAACTGGAACAAGCAGACTACAAGCATGAAGGATATATGGTACAATCTGAAGAATAATCAAAGAAGGTTTGAAGCATTGAACAGAGAAGTCTCAATCAGNATTCTTTCTTTTTTTCTTGATTCTTTTCCGATCGAGATGTATAGATCCTGTTCATGGATTAACGAAAATGTGCAAAAGCTCTATTTGCCTCTGCCATTCTATGAGTCTCTTCCTTTTTGCGTATGGCATCGCCACTCCCAATTATATTTATATAACATTATACACAAATATACACACTTATACATATTTATACACAATTATACATAATTTATACAATATCGTATAAGTATGTATAAATATCAATTATACAAAATTTAAACTAGAAAACACCTTATGTCCATCACCACACCTCTATTTTAACACCAAAAATTTGCCTCACCAATTAATAATATCATTATTAATTAACACCCATCCAAATTGAAGCACGAAGTCATAGTGTTATTCGAATTAAAAAATTTCAAAACATTCGAGTCGATGTTTTGAGAACCCAGCAGTAGAATCGAAAATTTTTCGTCCAAAATTCTTCACACAATTGAGTTTAATGCACAGGGACATCCATGGCCCATATCATGGAGCTTTGAGCTTCAATGAAGATGGCTTTTTCAGATCTAAAACTACAATTCAAATTCAAAGGATACATCTTTTGTGGTGTGATAAAGAAAAAATGGAATAGGTAAGGAATATTTTCTGTGAAAAGATAGGAACAGAGAGTAATGAAAGACGATGAAAAGGGAAGGGGTTATGATGGAGAAGATGATGGAAAGAGTGATGAGGCAGCCAAAAAGACAAGGGAAAAGAGGTAAAGTCTTTTCATCATTTATTTTGTCTTGTTAGCAACTATAAGGGATAAAGGGTGAAATAATTTTTACATATCATATACAATGTGAGTTAATTTTGGTAGCATTTAAAAATATGGGCCAATTTTGGTAGCATCATGGTATCAATTGTATTTGAGCGTAATTTTTCCAAATTAGATTGGCGATATTACTAGTAATTTTTAATTAGGAATACCTCCCGAATACTGTATCTTCAATATTCACGGTTTCCACGAAACGAAGTTTAGATGCCTGATTTGGTACACTGAATTTCTCAAGAATATTGTTGTCCTGTTACAAAGAAAGAAAAAAGAAATGGAAACAGCAATTGTCAGAACTACTCAATAGTTAAAACAGCCCTAATAAAAAGATGTAATAAAATTTGTTACTTATTGAGTTTGAAAACCAACATGACAAATAATGTGATACAACATTTTTTTTCATTAAAAATAAAGACAGCCTGGTACAGTAGGCTCCTCAATTCCTGAATTACCTTGGAAACGATCATCATCAAAAGCTCAAATCCGAGGTTGATAGCGAGGAGAGGCAAATGTTCATCGGCATCATTCTTCTCCAAAACTTTCTGTAATTATCAGGAAGAAAAATATAGAAATATCAGAATATATTAGAGTTAAATTGGTAATTTTCTGTTAACTCGGTTTCAGCTTCCTTCAAAAATTTCTCTAATATGACAGATAAGAATTATTTACGAAATAGTGACAAATTTACTTCAGGATAGATGTTCGATAAGGTAAATACTTACCTTGAAAATTGCTTTGACAGTCTCAAAATATTTACCCTTCCTCGCCCACCCTCCAGGGAAGATCACGCCATTAACTAGATCAAGTTTCTGCAAATAAACATTGACGTTAGCAACTAACTGCAATTTATGGGAAAATGAACGATCTTTCAAAAACTAGGTTCCAATTTTTTCCTTTTTTCTTTTCAGGCCAATAAATATGTCTGGGAAATATTTGTTGGCCTGAAAAAGAAGAAATTGAACCTGTATATCTAGTGACCGAAAATAAATTCCTATATCTAGAATTTTAGATTATATGTACTGTATAAATTAAGAACTATTTACCACGTTTGGTATATTCATACTAAGAACTATTTACTACGTTTGGTATATTCATGCTTGACTTATGCATGACCCTTTCGTTAAAACTCATTGTTATTTGCTATTTTCCAGTCTTTATTGGGTCATCTGAATTTAAGAATTTTTTGTGTGCAGTTTTCTTTAGTGACATCTTTTGCTTTGACTAATGTAACCTTTTTATAAGACCTAGTGGAATTAGTCTGGTGTGCGCAAGCTGGATTAGACATCACAATTATTAAAAAAAAATGACATTTAGTACAATTTGTTTACCAATTTATTATCTATCTGCGATAATTACTCGTGCAGACTTCATTAAGAATTCCAAAAACAACTATAGACCAGCTGAGTTACTCCACCCTGTCATAGCTCCGTGGCCCTTTATGAAATGGGGAATGGATATCGTAGGTCCATTGCCACAAGCAAAAGGTCAGGTAAAGTTTCTACTTGTGCTTACAGATTATTTCACTAAATGGGTAGAAGCAGGGGCATTTAAACAGGTGCGGGAGAAAGAAGTTAAAGACTTCATTTGGAGAAATATAATATGCC